GACTCCCATATGCCGAGGTAGTGGCCATGGGCTTCATAGACTGCTTCTCTGTTCATCTTCACACCCGCTCATCCTACTCAGGGCAGGTGAGGTTCCAGAGGTCAGGCAGCCAGCTCTAGGCCAGAGCATCTGAGTGCACCTTCCCTCCCTCCGTCCAGCCTGAGGACTGTGCCTGGGTCACTCAGGAGCAGACACTGAGACTCCTGGCGGCCTCCAGTCACAAGGATCTGTGCTGCCTGGGAGGGGGAGGAGAAGGAGGAGGAGGAAGAGGAGGAGGAGGAGGAGGAGGAGGAGGAGGTCGTCCAGCGCTGCAGTGAGGTTTCCTGGCAAGCGCTTTCCAGGGCACCAACCTTGGGGCTGGCCCCTCTTTCCGCCAGTTCTTCCTGCTCCAGCAGCTGACTTCCCTTGCACGTGGCTTCTGCTTCCTCACGGAATCATCTGCTCTTGGCTCCCACTCAGGGCCCAAGTTCCCTGCATTCTCCCCGATTGTCCTGCTTTTGGACTGTCTAAAAAGGTCAGATTTACTACTCTCTAGGCCTGGGTACACCCACTGGGTACCCAAAGATCACTCATAGGCTGCTGGCCACACAGGGAAACTGCCTGAGTCGCATTGGCCCTGTGCCCACCGAGCTCGGGTGGGCGGAGCAGCAGGCTGCCCGGGGCACAGCGTGCAGGGCCCTGTGTGTGGCGGCGTGAGAAGGAGCACGCCCAGTGCCAGAGTCCATGCAGGCTGCCTCCCGGGAGCCGGGACACCTTCCAGGTTCATTGCACAAGCTTTGGAGAAAGAGAAACCCGAGACTGGAACTACACTCTGCTGCGTCTTGGCTGTGTGATGTGGGGAGATTATTGGATCTTTCTGACACTCCGTTTCCTCTTCTGTTAAGTGGCTGCAACAATAGCATCTACCTCCGTCTGTAGAACTAAATGAAATATTGTCTGCAGAGCACCTGGCACAGGGTCTGTGAAGGGTGGCGATGGGACTCCCATCACTGCTGTTATTAACGAAGGGAGCGCACAACGTGGGTTGAACAGAATCACAGAGATTTCCTTGCGGACAGAGGGCCTGGTGTTAAATAGTGAGGTGCCAGAGGCAGCATGCCTTCGTTTAAACCTTGGTTCCATGGTGTACCGATTGGCTTATTGGGAAAGTTACCTAAACTCCCATCTCTAAAGCGGAAACAGTGTCCAGCTCAGGAAGTCACTTGAGAATTAAAAAAGAAAGAAAGATAGAAGCCGTGCGAAGAATTGAGCACAGAGCACGCCCTCGCAGCTGTGGCTCAGATCGTTATTGATCTCTTAGAGCTGCTACACATCACAGCGGAGATGCGGGAGGGGCTGGGCTGAGAACTGATCCTGAACTTGGCTTTCAACAAGTCAAGTTCACTGTTGAAAGTCACAGAAAGAGTTGAATGTGTTTTCATTCTAAACCACTTCACCATATTAGTGCTGAGGCTTTAAGTAAAATTAGGAGGAGGAGGAGGAGGAGGAGGAGGAGAAATATGAAGAAGAAAAGGAAGGAGGAAGAGGAAAGTAGGAGGAAGAGGGGTGAAGGAGGAGGAGGAAGAGGGGTGAAGGAGGAAGAGGAGGAGAGATGGGAGGAAAAAGGAGGAGGAGGAGGAGGAAGAAGAAGAGGAAAAAAGGAGGGAGGAGGTGGTGGAAGAAGATGCAGAACAAGAGGAAGAAGGAGGAGGAGACAAAAAGAATGACTTTTCCAAACCCAAAGATGGGAAACCAAAATTAGGTGATACTCTGATTTCCATAGAGTGGCTGCAGAAGAATCCTGAGGGAGGAAACTTTGTTCGCTGTCCCCCAGACCCCATCTGCCACCAGTCCCCACCATCAGCACGGGCCTTTGAGAGCTGGGGACAGGTTTAGGACAGCAACCAAACGAATGACTGTCACCAAAACTACTGATAGCTGTGTTGCTGCCGAGGACGAGTCAAACTCCTCATGTCGGTATCGTATTAGAGAGTCTGAAAGGTTTCTACATAATATGACAACCACTCAATGCAGTTCCCTCTGGGGAATCAGATTCTAATCTATAAGGAGAAAATATAGATATTTCTTGGAAGGCATATTAGGAAATGACAGAAGAGCCGAACCAAGGAAATGTCACATTTTGGCAGCCTGACAGGATGGCGGACTTTGTGGGACTGTTGTCTCCTGTCGTTGCATGGTCCTGCCTGCTCCTTGTCCTCTGCCTGTTTGTTTTGCTGTCAGTCCCTGCCTGCGGGAGAAGAAGGCAGCGACCGAAGGGTCCTGAAGTGGCCACAGCTTCCCCAGGCGCCGTGTAATAGCCCTATGCTCAGCGCTTACCACACAGCGGCCTGTGGAAGAGGTTACAGTACTGCTGTTTCACAAGCAAGGAAACTGAGCCATCACAGGTATCACGAACATGTCCCAAACCCACACAGAGGGGAAGTGGCCAAGCCAGAAATTATATCCAGCCATGTGTGTCCGTACAAATCTTGTGATCCCGATGCATTGCCCTCTTTGTTCAGCAAACATTTGAGTGTTCACTAGCTGAGGGTTCCTCAGGAGCAACGAGTGATCCAGCAGTTGCTGTAGGTGCC